GAAAAAGCACAGCTCTTGAAGATTAGGGTAACCTGATCTGATCTGAGTTCTATGAAAATGCCACATCAACAATGGAGATGAAGGCAGGGTGCAGTGGCTCACGCCTGAAATCCCAGCACTTTGGGAGGCTGAGGTGGGTGGATCACTTGAAGTCAGGAGTTTGAGACCAGCCTGACCAATGTGGCAAAACCCCGTCTCTATTAAAAATACAAAAATCAGCTGGGCATGACGGCGGGTGCCTGTAATCCCAGCTACCAGGGAGGCTGAGGCTGGAGAATCGCTTGAACCCAGGAGGCGGAGGTTGTGGTGAGCAGAGACCATGCCACTGCACTCCAGCCTGGGCCACAGAGGGCAACTTTGTCTTGAAAAAAAAAATGGAGATGAAGAAAAGAATCAGGCAATGACGTTCAGACAGTGTAAAAGGGAAATAGCAAACGTGGTGGGGCCACGTTTGTGGTAGGTGCACAGAAGCTGAACCCAGGCCCTGGAGGATGGGAGGAGAGTGGGGGGTGCACAGCCCTCCAGGTGCCATTAGAAGTATGGGCTGGGGCCTCCCGGGAGCCGCTGCCAACTCTGTGGGGGGCAAAGAGCCTCCCCTGCCTTCAGTGCTCCTGGGTGGTCTGGCCGCTTGTTACTGTATAGTCCACCAGAAACAGGATGATGACCACACAGGTGGGAATGAAGGATTGTTTTTGTGGAGTACGTTGTATTTTAAAACAGATTTTATTGATCCAAAAAAGTGACATTCTGTTGAGGACCAATAGCAGATAAAAGGCAAAATGTAGATGATATCAGCCGAAGCCTCTCCAAGTGAAATCCACATGAATAGGTGGCTTCCCTGGCAAAGCGGAGGTTTTAAGAAGCTGCTATGGACCAAGTTCCATCACGGAGCCCTCAAGGTTTCTGCTGCCATCCCAAGAAGTCCTCAGGAGAATCCACCTGTGGGAAATAACGATATTTACACACTCATTTCCTACCTTATTTTCTTCTTCCATTTTGTTGCTGTTTTTCTATTACATGCTGGAAGGCAGCAAGTTAAGCAAAGGCACTGGGCCACTGAGAAACCGAACCAGCTGCCATCAGGCTGCTGCCTCTGCCTCATTTGAAAAGGCAGGCACACAAACAGCATATACTTAATTAAATCCTGGAATTCAGTTTTCTTAAGGTTTCTGCCTTTTAGAAATTTTCTCTCATATCTTAGTGAGAAAAATAATGATTTGGGGTAATGATGACTTTGAAAGCATGAGAGGACACCACGCCACTCAGCAAAGAGCTGGGCCTAAGGGTGACACGGGGTTGCTGGTCTGGTCAGCACCGGAGTCCAGCATAGCAGTGCCTGAGCACCATGGACCAGCCGCGGGGCCTAGAAACTCCTCCTGGCACCCCACCTCTGCATCCTCCACCCACTGCTCACCTGAACTCCAGCACCCTCCCTGAACTGCTCCATCATGCTGTGCTGGCCCACAGGTGATGGTTGTCCCACTAGCCTGCTACCACATTGCCATGACAGAGCATTCAGGGAACCTGCATGCAGCTCAGCACAGACAGGGCACCCTCCCAGGGACATGCTCCTTTAGTGCTTATGCCAGTCCTCAGCCAGGTCACAATGCCCTGGACAGGTTCCTCTTGCATCCTGGATGCTCCGGGCAGGGCCCCTGGTCTGGCCCTCAGATACTACCCAGGAGGCCATGTGTGTGCATGTACAAGCCATGTGTGTATGTGCAGGTATACTGTGTGTGCATGTGCACACACAGTATTTATATATATATACATGCATACATCCACAAGCACAAGAATGCTCCCATGTGTGTATGTGTAGGTGTACTCTGTGTGTGTGCATGTGTGAAAGTGTTCATATATATATGTATGCATACATACACATGCACGAGCGTGCACCTATCTGTGTATGTGCAGGTGTACTGTGTGTGCATGTGTGTGAGCACATGTTGATATACGCATGTGTGCATACATGCACATGCACGAGCGTGCACCTGTGTATGTGCAGGTGTACTGTGTGTGTGCATGTGTGTGAGCATGTGTTGATATATGCATGTATGCACACATGCACACGCACGAGCGTGCACCCATGAGTGCATATATACATTCATGGCTTCCCCCTAAACTGCATCAGGGCACCAACAGGAGTAAAAATGTTCATCACCTTCAGTCTGATATTCACAAGAAACGAGCGTCTGACCAATTTTTAGAGTTAAATGATTGTTTAATTGAATTTTCAGTCAAAAATCTCAGTTGTGTGGTTCAAATGCATGTCACCAAGGGCAGAACACCTGCTCTGACCAAGGAAGGGTGTTCAGCCTCAGATATCGGAGGCCCTGGGATCTCCCATTCATTGACCCTAAAACACATGGCTTGCTTGGTGACCACGCTGTCCATTCGGCACACGACATCATGTGTTACCTCTGCTAAGTTATCCCTCAAAGTCAACACCTAGCCAGCCACATGAGCTGCGAGCTCCTACTGCTGAGCCAAATCACAGCCTTGTGTTTAAAACAGTAACTTACAAACTCAGCATTTTGCCACGTAAAAATGTTAAATTTTGTTTAATTCTTTATCTCATTGTCATAATAAACTCTTTGCAGGGAAGCAGAATAAGACTCATTTTTAGAAAGGTCCAAGAACTGGCCGGGTGTGGTGGCTCATGCCTGTAATCTCAGCACTTTGGGAGGCTGAGGCGGTCGGATCACCTGAGGTCAGAAGTTTGAGACCAGCCTGGCCAACATGGAGAAACCCCTTCTCTACTAAAAATACAAAATTAGTTGGGCGTGGGGGTTCATGTCTGTAACCCTAGCTACTTGGAAGGCTGAGGGAGGAGAATCGCTTGAATCCAGGAGGCAGAGGTTGCGGTGAGCCAAGATCATGCCACTGCATTCCAGCCTGGGCCACAAGAGTGAGACTCCGTCTAAAAAGAGAGAGAGAGAGAGAGAGAGAGATAGAAAGATCCGAGAACTGGTATTATTTTGCAAGTAGCACAAAGAACCCACTCTCAACCATTAACTTCCAGTTTTAAAAAGGTAGGATGAACACACACGACATTGCTGCTGTGAGCTGGATAACCTCAGCGTTCAGTGCCACAACAGTAACCAGTAAGTCAGTGGTAACTAGGAAGGAAGGCTGATGTCTTCATGATGGTCCACTCATTTCCCTGAGAATTGATCTTTGGGGCAATTTGAGTTTAGGAGTATGTGGGATTCTATTTCCTCTGGTAAACTTTAAAAAAATCAAACCTGGGTATTCCACATCAGTACATGAACACCTATGACAGTGGAGCTAAGAATAGTCCTGGAGCTAGGGACACTCAATCTTAAAACAACTCATCTAACTTTCTGGTCACATGGAAAAGGCCGGTTTGCCCCAGCTGGGTCTTTGTGCACTCCTGGATTTTCCTGCTACCCAGGCCAGGGAGGTGCACATGGGGACAAGAGGGTGTGCATGCAGGGACAGGACAGGTGTGCATGCAGTGACAAGAGCGTGAGCACACAGTGACAGGAGCGTGTGCATGCAGTGACAGGATGGTGAGCACGCAGTGACAGGAGGTTGTGCATGCAGTGCAGGGTGGGTGTGCATGCAGGGACAGGAGGGCGTGCCCAAGGGATCAGGAGGGTGTGCAACCTGCTCCTGGCTGTGGCCTCTGCCCCCAACTATGTTCTGCCTTCCGTTTTGTCCCAAGAAGCGCCTGACACTTTAGAGAGGTCACTGATTTTGATCACAAATTTGAAGGACTCATAAGGCATCTAACATTTTAATCTGTACAAAACAATTAAGACTAAACACCTTGGAAAACAAAAAGCACCACACAGGAGGCTTGACTTTTTGCATCTGTGCTGCCCATGCATTTGCTCCTGCCAGGGCAGTGCCTGGCAGCCTTCTGTAGGGAGTCACCAAGTGCCCACCCCCAGGGAGATCCACCTGGCTGCCCCTGCTGTGTAGCTCTGGAAGGCTGGCCTTGCAGCCACCTGAGAGGCCTCTGCTTAGGAAGCAGAAGGCCCCTGGCTATGCCGTGCTGACTGGATGCAGGCTGGCAGAGGGAAGGATCTTAAAAGTCACACTGCGCTGACAGCGATCACAGTTTTGCTTAGGTTGATGACTGCTGGGCTGGTTGTCCTGAGGCAGGAGAGGACTGGGCTGTGAGGACAACAGGGACCAATCAGGTCATGTCTTCTGTCTGGCTAGGCCTCCTTTCTCACTCTACCACTCGGGGATGCCTATTATGGGCCAGTATCTGAAGAGGCCTGAGGATGAAAACCTAGGAAACTGGCTGTGAGTGATTCTTTGTCCTCCAGAAACACCCACATAGCAAGGAGAGGACACTGGCCTGAGCTTTGCAGTGACTGAGCAGACGTCGGCAGGGACAGGTTTGCCAGCTCTGGAGATCAGCCCCCTGAATGGTGACAGGTCTCACTTCTCATCATGGAAATGGAGCTGGAGCCTCCTCCCTCTTGTGGCCTCTGCTGCAGCAGGGCAGCCCAGCCAGGTGCCAGCTGGGACAGGCCTTGGTCACCAGGGGTACAGGGAGCTCTGGCTTTGGGCAACTAGGGGCTGAGGAGTGGCCTCACTCCAGAGCCTGCACCTGAAAACTATGCTCCATCCTTAAATTTGGCTACTTTTTCACAGCTATAAGTAGACTTCTGTACACAATACAGATATTACACGTGGTTTCTGTAGCTTCTCTCTCCTATCTGCTCTGAGCTGGCACTCACCCCGCAGAGCACCGGCTGCCTCTGCTCCCCCAGCAGGAGGTACACATCTTTTCCACCAGGCTGTGGCACTGCTCCCAGCTGCTCAGGGTCAGCAGCTGCCTGCCCGGCGCCACAATTCCAGCATGTGGGATCACCTTTTCCCAAGACTTGGAGCTGGCCTGGCTCCCAGCCAACCCACCAGACAGACGGAAACACACTCCACCAGCATACGGAACGCATTTCATATCATGTGTGAAAATACTCACACACATATCCTGATCATTTAAAAGTATGACCTTCACATCAGTTAAGGCTATTATGGGGTATATTTTAAATGAAATGCTATCATACTCAAAATTACCAGATTAATGAGTTAACAGGAAATTTATCTAGGCCAGAAAAACTATGACTGATTTTCCAAAATAGGATTAGATTGTTCATATGTATTAACCAAAAATAAGCTCTGCTTTGCAGTCGAAACCACACAACCAGTTTCCAAAAAGAAAACTGTATGGGACGTGGTATCAGTGTCTCTGCACACACAGGAAGTTAGCTTCAGAAAGAGGTTGGATCCAGTCAACTAGCTAGCAGAATACAACTGTTCAAACTCAACATTTGTCCGCCAAAGGCAACCGTTTCCCCCACGCTGACCTGTGTGTACACATCCTCTAATTCCAATTCGATGCATAATCTCCAATAACATAGCAATTAATTTAATAAAGGAACTCACCAATTTTAAATTGCAATAAATTTACCAAACATTTTCACTGTTTATGGAGAGCTTTACAGTAAGAAAGTATCAACAAAAGCAGGCACATCCGTGTACAAAGTGTTGCTGTTGGGTGTTTTCACTTCTTCTTTCCTGAATTACCAGCTGCTTTGCGTCTCTGTCCTGTCGGCGGCGCGCTCTTCCTCCGCGGGAAGTCGCCGTCCCGGGGCGGGCGCTCGCTCCGTCCCCCTCGCCTCGGACCACCAGGCAGAGCCGCCCCCAGGGTTTGGACTTGCCAAGAAAAGTGCGGTTGGGCCAGTCAAGCCCAAACATTTATTGTAAACTTGGAAATGGAATCCAGATATGAACGACACAGATAAGAAGAGAAACCTTCCCGATACAGAAATGGTCACACCGGGGACCCCCTCCTGTGGTCACGGAGCCCCGCAGAGGGGCCACGTGGAAGAGGCGGCGCCCCTGAGGCCTGGCCCAGGCCTCCGTCCCCGCCGCCCGTCCTCCCTCGCCGCGGGGGTCCTGAGCGGGGCGCAGGGTGGGGGTCCGTCCCGCGGGCTCAGCAGGCCGCCCGGCTGGTCTCCCAGGGCCGCGGCGTCTCGCAGGGCGGCCGGCAGCAGTAGGGGTAGGAGGCGTTGAGGTCGGGGTCCGAGGGCGCGTACCCCGGCAGCTCCACCGACGGGTGCCCCCCGCAGCGCACCTCCGCGCCCGCCTCGTCCAGCGCGTGGAGGACGCCCACGTTGATGTAGGAGACCGCGTGGTGCGCCGCGAAGCCCGCGCAGTCCCCGGGGGCGGCCAGGTCCGAGTCCTCCGGGGACAGGATGGAGGCCTCGCTCGGCCGGGGCTGCAGCCGCCGCCCCCGCCGGCCCCGCCGGCCCCGGCGCGCCCGAGAGGCGGACGGCTGCGCGCGGAGCCCGGAGCCACCGCGGGGCCGCGCCAGGGCCCGGCCTCCCCTCCGCCGTCCGCGCCGACCGCGCCGGGCCTGAGACGACCGGTAGTTCTTGACCAGCAGGAGGCTGAGCAGGCCCAGCAGGCACTCGAGCGAGTTGAAGACGGTGGAGAGCACCAGGCCGCGCTGGTAGTCCTTGAGCTGCCGGCACTTGGCGGACGTGGCGCTGTCCAGGGTGCTGCGGGAGCGCGGGGCGCCGGGGGCCGCGCCGGGGGCCGAACCCGGGGCCGCGCCGGGTGGGGCCGAGCCGGACGCCCGCGGGGGCAGGCAGTAGTGCGAGTACTTGCGCTCCACCAGCGACACCGTGTCGCCGTCGATCACTGCGCCCGCGAAGGCGCTGAGGACCCCGAGCATGAAGACCAGGACGCCGAGCAGGAGCAGGTTCTGGCTGCTCACGGGGCCCGGGGCCCCGGCCGCGGCCCCCGGCTCGCCCGGAGCGGCCTCGGCAGCTCCCGCGGAGGCCGCGGGGACCCCCAGACCCGGGCCCGGCTCCGGCCCCGCGAGGGGCGCGTCCCGGGGCCCGCAGCAGAGCAGGGCGGCGCCGAGCAGCGAGAGGCCGGCGGCCAGCAGCAGCCCTGAGTAGAAGGCGCCGGCGGCGGCCCCCAGGCGGAACGGCTCCCCGCGCAGCTCCGAGCCCAGCGAGAAGCACTTGAGGCCGACGGCGGCGGCGCTGAGCGCGCAGGCGAGCAGGAGGCAGGAGGAGAGCGCGGCGCAGGCCCCGCGGACGCTCCACTTCATCCTCCGCGCCCGAGCCGGCCCGCACCCCGCGCGCCCGCCGCCGCCCGCCGCCGCCCCCGCCGCCTGCGCCTCCTCCCGGCGCCGCGCGGCCGGACCGCCGGCCTCCTCCTCATCCTCCCGCGTCCTCCGGGGCCCGCGCCGCCGCCGCCGGAGCCCGCATCCTCCGCCTCCCGCCGCCGCCGCCGCCGCCGCCGCGACCCCGCGCCGGGAACGGATGCGGCGCCGAGGACCGCAGGGCGCGCGCGCCCCCTCCCCAGCCCGCGGCGCCCCTCCCAGGACGCTCCCCCCCCCGCCCCCCACCCCGCCCGCCGCCCCGCGCGCCTAGCCCTGGCGCCGCCCTTCCCCGCGCCCGGCAGCCCCCGCCGCCCCCGGGACGCCCCTCCGCCACCTCCTCCGGGACCGGGGCCCCAGGCCGCGTCTCTCCTCCCTCCTTCCCTGTCCGCGCCCCTCTCCGGCGCGGGCCGCTGCGGGAACGCCGCCCTCCACCCCCAGCTTTCTCTTTCTCTCTCTCTCTCTCTCTCTCTCTCTCTCTCTCTCTCTCTCTCTCTCTCTTCCTCCCCGCTCGGACCCCCTGGGCCCCACCCCCAGCGCTCCCCACCGCTCGGCGCCCCTGCGTCTGCGCTCCCCTGCCTCCCCTATCCGCTGGGTCTTGGCCGCACTTCCCACCCACCCGCCTGTCAGCGGCCTGTGGAAGTTATGGGGGTGCAGGGAGCAGGGAGAGAGGAGCTCTTGTGCTATGGGGGAGTGGGTATGCGGGAGAGCCTGGGTAAAGACGGGGAAAGGGGGAGCCTGGGAGAGGAGGGAGGAAAGGAGGAGAGCTCGGGTGCTGGGGTGGGGGGACAGAGCCCGGGGAGGGAGGGGAGGGGGCGGGTGCTGGGGGGAAGGAGCGGGGTGGAGGGGGACAAGTGCTGGAGGGGAAGGAACCCAGGGGAGGGAGGGGCAGAAAAGCCCGGGTGCTGGGGGCGGAAGGAGCCCAGGGAGGAAGGGGAAGGAGGGCCTGGGTGCTTGTGGGTGCTTGGGGGAGAAGGAGACCGGGGAGGGAGAGGGAGGGGACCGGGTGTTTGGCGGGGGGGGGGGTGGGGGGCGCGAGCGGGGAAGAGTTCAGGGCATGGGGGAGGGAGCCGGGTGCTGGGGAGGAGGAAGGAGCCGGGGGAGGGAGAGGGAGGAGTGAGCCAGGGAGGGGGTTGTCCAAGGGATGGGGACGGTCAGGGTCTCTGGGAAGTGCTGACGTGTGCCCGCGTGCGGTGTGTAGTGTGTTTCGTGTGTGGTATGTGCATGTGCGCGCGCGTGTGTGCGGGTGGGCCGTGTGCGTGTGCGCGCGGTTCGGGATGAGCAGGGGCGCTGACTTTTAGGACTAGCCATTTGAACCAAGCTGGAGGTGACGTCTTAGGCAAAACGGTGGATGAGTCTCGCTTGGTTTTAGTCTACAAAGCGCTTCTGGATCAGACAGGAATTTTCCCCAGACGCGGGTGCACGTGAATTAATTCATCAGAAGGCGGTTCACGGCCTGAGTGAGGGGGACGAGGGCGGCAAATTCCTCCGCCTCATTCCTACCCTGACGATTCAAGGTGGGTGAGAGGAAGGCCGGGGTGGCTGGTGGGTGGGGTGGGAGAAGGTCACCTCTCCGGCTTCTCTGGGCCCTCCAGCCTCTTCCTGAGAGGAGCTCGCCTCAGCCCCTTGGTTGGGGGAGTGGGGGCGTCTCCGGAAGGGCCTCGGCCCAGCAGCTGGGCCTGCACTCCTGGTCCCTTCCAGTACGTTTCTGCTGCGGTGGCAGCGAGGCTGGGGAGCCGATGACTCACCCTCCTGGCTAATTGCAGCGTTAAATAACTTTGCGCCGGATTCGGTGGCTGCAGCCAGGGAAGGCGCTCCGGGCGCGGGGGAGGTGCAGGTTCGCGCTGAGATTGCACCTCGGTCCGGGTCACAACCTTAGCAAGTTCTGGCCTGTGGAGCCCTCGCCTAGAGCGCACAGCTTCAAGGCCCTGAAGGGCACGGCGTGTCCCGTGGTGCCTGGTGGACCGGGGCAGAGCCCCCAGAGGCCCTGTCTGAAGGAAGCGGCACCCACAGGTTTCAGGCAGTGCGGGCGCAGGCCCCTCGCCCACCTTCACGGAAACCATCTGCCCATGTGAATCTATGCGAAGGCCCTTCCTGCGCTCCCTGGACATGTGCGTGGGATTTACTTCAACGGCGATAGCTGCGAGGGGGACGAGCATGTTTCACTGTATTTTTAGCAAAGAGTGCAGATTTTAGAACCTCGCGAACGGTCCTGCGTCCCTGCACGAGGACTCGCCAGAGCAGTAGGAATAGTGACCCTTCCTTTGCATCGATGGTGCACAGGTTTTCAAAGGACAGTGTGTAAATCGGCTTGTATAATAATCGTGGCACCCACGCGAGCGAGCAGACTTACCATGAGCTGACTTCCACTGATTATTTCAGTTTCCAGGGAAACGAGGTTTGCAGCCACCTCCGGTGAGGGCGGGGCGGCCTCTCCATTCCCAATGCGGGGAGGCTGCTGCAGCCACAATGATTCGGCTTTGAAGGAGGAAGTGAACTGATGGGGCCTCATCCTCCCCCCTCTCTGAAGGTTGGGGATGGAAAGATGGGGCTGTGCCCTCTGAGGGCAGGGAGAAATAGCTTGGAGGGGGTTCTGCCATCAGAAGTCCCATAGGAGGCAGGTCAGTCCTACAGAATTTCTCTCCCAATCTGGCCTCTAGTCGCCTCGATGCCTCCCCGGCCCCTCACTAGACGCCCCCATCCCACTGACGCCTGCTCCTGCCACGGGCCCTTTGCACCTGCGGCTGCTGCAGCCTAGGTGTGTTGCCTCTCCACATCCCCACCCGGTGTCTGCCTTCACATTTCACAGGTGCTCGCTTCACCCCACGTAGGAGTAACTCAGTGCTGAGGGATCCCACTGCCCTCCAGGTGCCGCTCTGAATGCTCCACACAGCTTTTCATTCAGTCCTTGCAGCATGCTAAGGTAGGCGGCCCCACTGTCCTCACAGGCTTCCCAGGCATGAGCCAGTGACTGGTGCACTGCCTCCCTGCCCTCCCCTGCCGGGGCAGACGGTCCTCCATAACAGCCAGGACTTCCCTGTGGTCCAAAGGTGTGTGTCCCTGCCAGACTGGGAGCTCAGTGCACTGCAGTCCTGTCCAGCTACCCTCTCCCCCACCCCCACCCCATCAGGATCTGGCTTTGCCCCAGCTGTGTGGAATGAATGCATGAACAAATGAGTGGGTGGGTGGCTCAACTTGTGACAGGGCAGAAAAGTCTGCTGGTTCTGCTTAGAGGTGCTTGGACCAGGCGAGGTTCACCAGGCAGGCAGACAGGCCCCCATCTCCGTGTTGCGGGTGGGGAAGGGACTCTGTGAAGGCGGGCGAATGCCCCAGCAGCAGGAATATCAAGAGCAGAGGCCCTGGAGGAGACCCCCTGGAGCTGGCGCACAGAAAAGTCCGCAGGTAGGAGGGGCAGAGGGCGATACCATCGGGCAGCAGGTGCCCACCCAGAAGGTCTTTGAGCCCTGCTGGGAAGTTCAGGCTTTACCCTGCAGATAAGGGATGAGTCCCTGCCTGGTGTGTCTGGAAGGAGCCCTGCCACTGGGGAGCAGTGCTTGGGGGAGAAGCACCCCACTCCATGGCCGCCCATCATGGTGCAATCACAGGTTTGCCTGCGAATCTCCCCTGCCGCCTCCCATCACTTCCCGAGGCTCTGCAGATGGTCAGAGTGAGTGACATTGGGTTGGCAGAGAGGGGAGGGCAGTCTGCGGCCACAGTCCTGTGCGCACAGGGACCTTTCAACAGCCCTTCTGTCTCAGGGTTGGCCTCTGCACTTGAGCTGGGTTCTGACACTTAAAACCAGAAGTGGAATTGGAAGCAGACGCAGGCACATGTAAACGCTGATTCCGTTGCTTTCTGGCAGAATCCCATTTCCCAGGCCCACCTGTGAAACATCCTCCCGACCCTTGACCCCACTCCATGAGGGGACCTCAGGAAGCTGCAGGCTTGTCTGGTGATTTTCGGGGCCCAGGGCTCAGGGCTCAGGGAGGGGCACCCTCCTCAGAAAGAAGCACCACACTCATGAGAAATGACTTTGATAGGTTGTTGGAGAAGAGCAGTTATTTTAAAAATCACAGAGCCCATCATGTGCCAGCACGTTCACACAGGGCATGTAATCCCTGCAGCCACCACTGTGCTGGGGCCGCGTCCTCTCCTGACGACAAGAAACTGAAGCCCTGAGACGGTGTCAAAAACACTCCTGAGGTTTTTTCTGATTACAACAGGTGTTAATCCAAGAATATTTTTCCTAACAACTGTAAATCTTATTTTAATATTTACATATTTATGAGCATTTAAAATGCAGTCTCCTAGAATTCTGACTTCAATTAATTTGGCTGATTCTAATTATTTTTACTAATTTGTTTATCACTTCACTTTTTAGCACTTTGGTTTTTTTGACATGGAGTCTTGCTGTCCCCCGGGCTGGAGTGCAGTGGTGTGATCTCGCCTCAATGCAACCTCCACCTCCCAGGTTCAAGTGATTCTCCTGCTTCAGCCTCCAGAGTAGCTGGGACTACAGGCACCTGCCACCATACCTAGCTAATTTTTGTATTTTTTAGTGGCGATGCGGTTTTACATGTTGGCCAGGCTGGTCTCAAACTCCTGACTTCAGATGATCCGCCCACGTCAGCCTCCCAAAGTGCTGGGATTACAGGCGTGAGCCACCGTGCCTGACCTCTTTTTAGTACTTTTATCCTTTATTTTTTTAACTACCTACATACCCAACATTTTAAATTATTAATCTTCGCCCTCTCTTCTCCAAGAACAATCCCTATTGATCTTCCACTGACGCATCTCTGTGTAACTGCACAGCTGGTGATCGATCAAAAGAACTTACTGGGAAAACCACAGCCGGTGAGTTCTTGGAGACACAATAATGCACCTTAATGATCAGCTTAAAAGCTTTTGTCTTGTGAAATGTAATGGATCCGCAGAAACATCATAAAGTATACATGTAATAGCCTAATGACTTATAAATGGATATCTGTGTACTTCCCACCCAAAAAACAAGAATATGGCAGAATCTGAGTACACAATCCACACAGCCTCCCTCCCACCAGAGCTTCTGCTGAGTTCATGTGAGATCACTTTCTGGTATTTTTTTTTTATACTTCACCTTGACATGCATCCCTACCCGTTCTACTTTGATTTTGCCTGGTTTGTGAACTTTACATTAATGGAATCATATCTGGCTTCTTTCATTCAACTCTGTGTCTGCGAAATGGCTCCATGTTGCATGCAACGGGGGCGATTCATCGCTGGTCACTGATTCACTCCATGAACACGACACAGTTTATTATCCACTTCGCTGCCGATGAACATTCGTTTCTAGTTTGGGACCATGATGAATAAATTGTGAACCTTCTTATTTGTGTGCCCTGATGTACTTGGACGTGCATTTTGTGGTATGTACTTAGCGAAATTGCTGGCTCATGAGTATACCTATCTTCGGGTGTTACTTTGTGTGCCTTTTATATTGAGATACAATTTATGTGCAATAGCGATCATTCATGTTAAGTGTACAACTCAGTGAGTTTAGACAACTGTACACCTTGGTACGGGTCACCACTGCCGAGGTGACCCAGCACTGTCCCAACTCTCCCCCAGCTCCCTTTGCAGGCGTCCTCTCCCTCCATTCTGAGGACAGGCAACTGTGACCTGCTCTCTTAGTATGGAAAGTCGCAGACATAGACTCATGCAGCGCAGAGTCTTTCGTGTCAGGCTTCCTTCAGCCGGCAAAACGCTTGGAGACTTTTCCATGTTGCTGCATGAGTCAATGGATGGCTTGTTTTCGTCGCCGAATAGAATCCCACCGTTTGTTTACTTGTCCGTGAAATAATGGACATTTGGTGTTTTTCCATCTGAGATTGTTATGAATAATGCTGCTCTTGTCATTGGAGGACAAGTCTTCTGTGAACATCTGTTTTCACTTCTGTTGGGTACGTCCTTAGAAGTGGTATTGCTGGATTTTATCGAAAGTTAATATTTAACTTTCAAGAAACTAACAGACTGTTTTCCAGCATGGCTGCACCATTTTGCATTCCCAGACGAAGGAGTGAAGCTCCTGAAGCCCCACGCCCTCACCAGCCCACGCTGTTGTCAGCCTTAACCATGCTGACGGTTCTGGTGGGCTTTCAGTGGTATCTCACTGTTTTAATTTGCATTACCTTGACGACTAACAGTGTTGAGCCTTTCATGTATCTCTGGTAAAGAGTCTATTCAAATCCTTTGCCAATTTTTTTTTTTTGAGACGGAGTTTCGCTCTTGCTACCCAGGCTGGAGTGCAATGGAGCGATCTCGGCTCACCGCAACCTCCGCCTCCTGGGTTCAGGCAATTCTCCTGCCTCAGCCTCCTGAGTAGCTGGGATTACAGGCACGCGCCACCATGCCCAGCTAATTTTTTGTATTTTTAGTAGAGACGGGGTTTCACCATGTCGACCAGGATGGTCTCAATCTCTCGACCTCGTGATCCACCTGCTGCCTCGGCCTCCCAAAGTGCTGGGATTACAGGCTTGAGCCACCGCGCCCAGCCTCCTTTGTCAATTTTTAAAAAGTTGGGTTGTCTTCTTGTAATTGAGTAATAAGAATTCCTTATATGTTCTGAACATAAGTCACTTATAGGATAATGTTTTGCAAGTATTCTCTCCGGTGGCTTTGACCTACCTTCTCATCTTCTTATCAGCGTCTTTTAAAAAGCAAAACTTTTCCATTGCGATGACATCCAGTTATTACTTTTTTCTTTTGTGGTTTTTGTGTACTATTTTGGAAATAATTGTCAAACCAAGATTACAAATATTTTCTTGTCTTTTGGAAGTTTCATGGTGGTAGCACGTAAGTGTACATCTGTGATCCACTTTAATTAATTTTTGCATGTGGTGTGATAGAACAGTCAAGGTTTTTATTTTTGCACATGGATATCCAGTTTTTCCAGTACCAAAATTTGAGGCCGGATGTAGTGGCTTAAGCCTGTAATCCAAGCACTTTAGAGGCTAAGGCCGGCGGATCATCTGAGGTCAGGAGTTCAAGACCAGCCTGACCAACATGGTGAAACCCCGTCTTTAAAAAAAAAAGAATTCTCCAGTCCAGTACCAAAATTTGAAAATAATCACCATGATCATTAACTTACCTTGGTGCTTTTATTGAAAATCAGTTGACTGGAAAATGTGGATTGATTTCTAGCGTCTCAGATCTGACCCATTGACTTATATATCTTTTTTCTTTTTATGAAGTCTCACTCTTCTTGCTCAGGCTGAAGTGCAGTGGCACAATCTCGGTTCACTGCAACCTCCACCTCCCGGGTTCAAGCGATTCTCCTGTCAGCCTCCTGAATAGTTGGGATTAGCCACCATGCCCGGCTAATTTTTTTTATTTTTAGTAGAGACAGGGTTTCACCATGTTGGTCAGGGTGGTCTTGAACTCCTGACCTTGTGATCTGCCCACCTTGGCCTCCCAAAGTGCTGGGATTACAGGTGTGAGCCACCGCGCCCACCATGTCTGTTCTTATTCGAACACCACAGTATCTGGATTGTTGTAGCTCCAAAGTGAATGCTGGAATCAGGTAATGTAAGTCCTCCGACATTTTTCCTCTTTTTCAAAATCATTTGCCTGTTTTAAGTCCTTTGCATTTCCATACAGATTTTAGACTCAGCTTGTCAATTTCTGCCGGAAAATGTTCGTCAGGATTTCGATTGACATTGTATTGAACATACATCTTAATTTGGGATCAATAGTATGTTAGCAATATTGAATCTCCTACAGTTATTTAGTCTTCACTGAGTTATCTCACCAATATTTTGTGGTTTTCAGTGCACAGGCTTTGCATACATTTTGTTAAATTTTCCTATAAGGATTTCATTTTTTAATATTTTTTATTTTGTGTTACTTTAAAGAAATGAGGCACCCCCGTTATTGTGTGTGTGTGTGTGTGTGTGTGTGTTTTCTTTCTTTTTTTTTTTTTAATAGGAGGTCTCACCATATTGTCCAGGCTGGTCTTGAACTCCTGGGCTCAAGCAATCCTTCCACTTCAGCTTCCCAAAGTGCTGGGATTACAGGCAGGAGCCACCACACCCGGCCAGATACTCTCATTAGAATTTTGTGTCTATTCTTATTTCTTTAGAGTAAAATTTACTTTAATAAATGTTACCATACACATATATAGTATTAATATAAAATTGTTACTAGTACATATAAATGCAATTCATATATAGTATTAATATAAAATTGTTTGTTACTGGTACATATAAATGCAATTCATATATAGTATTAATATAAAATTGTTACTAGTACATATAAATGCAATTCATATATAGTATTAATATAAAATTGTTACTAGTACATATAAATGCAATTCATATATGGTATTAATATAAAATTGTTTGTTACTAGTACATATAAATGCAATTAACGTTTTAGATTGCCCCCTTACCCTGTGACCTTGCTGAATTCACTAATTCTAGCAGCTGCTTTTGTGTATTTGGTAAGATTTTTCTACATAGAAAATCATGCCACAGGTAAAGAGAACCCATTTTACTGCTTCCTTTTCAAACTGCATGCTTTTTTTTCTTGCTTTATTGCATTGGCTAGGTCCTTATGTGTAAGAAAGAATAGAAATAATGAGAGTAAACACCCTTGCCCTGTTTCGTGTCTTAGAGGGAAACTGTCTGGCCTTTCACCCTCAAGTATAATGTTAGCCGTCATTGTTTTGTAGACGCCTTTTATCAGGTGAGATCTGTTTCTATCTTGTTGAGTGTTTCTATCATGAACAGTTGATGAGTCTTGTCAAATGCTTTTTTTCCCTATCTGTTGAGGTTATAATACGGTTATTTTCTTTTTTAGCCTGTTAGTATGATGAATTGCACTTACTGAGTTTCAAATGTCCAACCAAGCCTGTACTCCCGAGATGAAGCCCACTTGGTCACATGTATGATTATTTTGATGTATAATGGATCTGATTTGCTGTTCTTTTGTTGAGGATTTTTATGTTTAAGTTAATGAGGATACTAGTTGTAGTTTTATTTTCTCGTAATGTTTTTTGTCTTTGTTTAGTGTCAGAGAAATGCTGACTTCATAAAGTGAGCTTGGAAGCACTCCCTTGTTTTCTCTTTTCTGTAAAATAGTTGTATAGAATTGGTATTCTTTCTTCCTGTTTAGCAGAATTCACCTGCAAAGCCACCTGGGGTTGAAGTCTTCTTTGGGGATGGCTTTAACTATAAATTCAATTCTTGTAACAGATTTAGGGCTATTAAGGTTATATAATTTTTTTCGTGAATGAGCTTTAGTGTCCTGTGTTTCTCAAGGAATTTTCCATTTTATTTAATCTTTTAGATTTATTGGCATAAGGTTGTCCCAATATCTCCTTAGACGTTGTGACTTTTACTGTACATAAAACATGCCTCAATAAAGCTGAAAAAATAAAATGTAAAAAAATCCCTTTGGGTAGGGCACAGTAGCTCATGACTGTAATCCCAGCACTTTGGGAGGCTGAGGCAGGTGAATCACCTGAGGTCAGGAGTTCAAGACCAGCCTGGCCAACATGTCAAAACCCCACCTCTATTAAAAATACAAAAATTAGCCAGGCATGGTGACAGTGACTGTAATCCCAGCTACTTGGGAGGCTGAGGCAGGAGAATCACTTGAACCCAGGAGGCAGAGGTTGCAGTGAACCAGGATCGTGCACTATACTCCAGCCTGGGAAACAATATCGAGACTCCATCTCAAAAAAAAAAAAAAGAATCCTTTTTTATTCATTTTTATCTGTGGGATCTGTAGCGAAGTCCCCTCTTTCATTTCCAATATTGGTAATTCATGTTTTGTTTGTTTGTTTGTTTGTTTGTTCGTTTGTTTTTTGAGACTGAGTCTTGCTCTGTCACCAGGCTGGAGTGCAATGGTGCAATCACGGCTCACTACAACCTCCGCCTCCCAGGTTCAAGTGATTCTCCTCTCACTCAGCCTCCTGAGTAGCTGGGATTATAGGCGCGCACCACCACACCCAGCTAATTTTTGTATTTTTAGTAGAGATGGGGTTTCACCATGTTGGCCAGGATGGTCTTGATCTCGTGACCTTGTGATCCGCCCACCTCACCCTCACAAAGTGCTGCGATAACAGGCGTGAGCCACTGCGCCCGGCCTCATGTATTCTCAATTTGGCTACAGATTTATCAGTGTTATTGATAATTTCAAAAAATTCGCTTTTGGTTTCATTCATATCTATATTTTGTTTTCTGCTCTCTTTTTTGGTTATTATTTCCTTTTTCTGCCTCCTTTGGCTTAGTTTTCCCTTCTTTTCCTGGCTCTCATTTGAGACCTTTCTTATTTTCTTATATAATTGTTAATGCTATAAATTTTGCTTTAAACATTTCCTTAATTATATTCCACAATTTTCCTTATGTTACGTTTTCACTATTATTCTGGTAAAAATATTTTCTAGTGATATTTGTGATTTCTTGACTCTTTGGTGTTTCGAGGTGAGTTAATTTCTGGACATCTGGGGTCCTTGCTAGATGAGTGGTTGTGGCAGATTTCTAATTTATTACTGTCTGGAAACACTCTAAGATGTCGATCTTTTGAAATCTGCTGAGACAAGCATGTGGTCTGTCTTGACGAATGTCTCACGTAGGGCGGAAAGAGTGTGCGTTCTGGACTTGTTGGTGATTCTGTTCTCTAAATGTCAAGTTCAGTGGTGCCGTTTGAATCTTCTGTATACCTTTTTCTTTTTGTCTACTCGTTCTGTTACTGAGAACAGCGAGTTAAATCTCCAGCTATGATCGTACATTGTCTATTTTCCTTTTGATTTTGTTAGATTCTGTTATATATTTTGGCATACTGTTATTAGATGTGTATATGCTTGTAATTGTATATTTCTATTGTACTGAACAGGAACTATCCTTTTTGTCTCTTAATACTCATTCTATTGAAGAACAATTTGTGTGCGATTGATACAGTACTACGGGCCATGTGCAGCGGCTCACGCCTGTAATCCCAGCACTTTGAGAAGCTGAGGCAGGAGGAATGCTTGAGGCCAGGAGTTTGAGACCAGCCTGGGCAACATAGTGACACCATCTCTACCAAAAAAAAAAAGAAAAAAGTTTAGGAAATCTGCCAAGCATAATGATATGTGCCTGTAGTTCTACATAGAAGGCTGCAGCCGGAGGGTCACTTGAACTGTAACCAGAGGTTACAGTGAACTCTGATCACAGCACTGCACTCCAGGCTGGACGACAGAACAAGGCCCTGTCTTAACACACACACACACACACACACACACACACACACACACAGACATACACATATCACCACACACACCACCACACACACATACAAACACACACACACCAACACACACACACAACCACACACCACCACACATACACACACCAACACACACAACCACACATACAAACACACACACAACCACACACACCAACACACACACACAACCACACACCACCACACATACAAACACACACACACCAACACACACACAACCACACATACAAACACACACACACCAACACACACACAACCACACACACCAACACACACACACCACCACACATACAAACACACACACCAACACACACCAACACACACACAACCACACATACAAACACACACAACACACAAACACACACAACCACATACACACACCACACACACAAACACACACACACACACACACCCTCAGCGAGGACAGCTTTCTTATGCTAGCTGTTTGCATGGTGTATAATCTTGAAGACAACATAAGGTTGGTTCTTGCTTTCTTTTCTTTTTTTTTTTTTTTTTTTGAGACGGAGTTTCGCTCTTGTTACCCAGGCTGCAGTGCAATGGCGCGATCTCGGCTCACCGCAACCTCCGCCTCCTGGGTTCAGGCAATTCTCCTGCCTCAGCCTCCTGAGTAGCTGGGATTACAGGCACGCGCCACCATGCCCAGCTCATTTTTTGTATTTTTGGTAGAGACGGGGTTTCACCATGTTGACCAGGATGGTCTCGATCTCTTGACCTCGTGATCCACCCGCCTCGGCCTCCCAAAGTGCTGGGATTACAGGCGTGAGCCCCCACACCCGGCCTGGTTCTTGCTTTCTTAAAAGCAGTCTGACCATTTGTGCCTTTTGCTTGGCGTACTTCATGTTTGATACATGCTCTTCTCTGTCTCATCTATGTTTTGTTCCTCAGTTTATTCTTTCTTGCCTTCATATTCATTCATTAATGTTATATTTTCTTTGGATATATTTGTCCAAATTATATTCGTTAGTGGAAGTAAATTTTCATATCATTATTTTATCCATTAATACTGAGCTGCACTGTTTGTTCAAATTTACACCCACATCCGTTTCTTAATTACCTTTTTCAATCTTTTAACTTTTGTTTTTTAAAATTTTATGTCTCTCTAAATTTTCTGGTTATATCCATTCCATCTCCTTCTACATATTCTTATTTTATAAATGGTGGGCAGCAGGCCTGCCCATAGATGTGGCGCAAAGGAGAAAGCCGGCTTCCTGAGAGGTGAGAGGAGGCTCATCCCTGTTGCTTGGCTCTGCACCTGCTCCTCCAGCAGCCTGAATCCATTTCTTACCATCCAGTCTTCACCCTCAGCAACCCAGTTGGAGCCACTCAAGACCCATGAGCAAACGGATGACCATCATTACTCCAGGGTGGGCAGCAGCTTCGAACAAGGTGGCCTTGTGATTCCTGGTCACAGCCACCTGCTGCCCTAAGAGGAACGACTCACCTCAAATCTAGATTCCACCATGCATGGCCATCAAACATGAGGCCATCTGGGGACATGTCATGGGGACTGGGTGGATATAAGTCACATTTCTAGCTACCTTTGGATAACCTTTCTGTGTTTGATGAAAGGTGGTACCCAGCTTCTGGACTTGGAGTTTGGAATTCGGTTTCTAGCCTCCCTGAAACATGCTTAGGACACAGGCTTGGAAGACGGAGCAGCAAGGAAGCAGCGTCTCAGCGTCACATGCTGCAGAGAGGGGCAGCATTTGGTGTCTTTGGAGGCCGACTTCTCAGCAGAGGATCACTGTGCCTGAGGCCACAGTGCCCAGAGGTGCTGGGTGGGGCGGGGAATATGGTAACCGGGAAACAGCCCTGAGCAGAGTTCCTACCCCTCCTAGCCGGGTAGCGAGGATTCAGGAGTTTGCAGAACTCTGCCTGACTCTGTGCTCAGGCGTGGTCTGGGCAGTGTCTTCACATCATCGGCAAAGGCACCTGGGCTTTCTCCTGTTGGTCCTGGGTGACTCCCTCCATCATCCCTCCACGCATGGGTCCTTCTTGTCATCTGCCTGCGCCGTCTACATCAGGCTGGGGCCACGCAGGCCTGACTGAGCATGGTGAGATCTAGAAGTTATGCCTCATTCAGTGAATGTTCTTTAGATGCTTGTTCAATATTTATTTGGTAAGAAGTGGGTAAAAGTTTCCCCCGATAAAGACCTTACACGTTCTCAGTAACCTTATGTACCGGCTGTCCTTTTGCTCACACCTTTGAGCTTTTCTCGCTGTGCTAGTCAGCGTTCTCTAGAGGGACAGGATGAGTAGGATAGACGCATCTGTGAAGGGGGTTTCTGAGGAGAACTGACTCACACGATCACAAGGTGAGGTCCCAGGATACGCAGTCTGCGAGCTGAGGCGCCAGGAAGCCGCCCGAGACCCAAAACCTCAACAGCAGGGACGCCGACAGCGCAGCTGTGTCTGTGGCCGAAGCTGACAAACCACCGGTGTGAGTCCAAGAGCCCCACAGCTGAGGAACTTGGAGTCCGAGGTCGGAGAGCAGGAAGCATCCCGCACGGGAGAAAGACAGAGGCTGGGAGACTCAGCCAGTCCGGTCCTTCCACGTTCCTCTGCCTGCTCTACCCTGGCCGCGCTGGCAGCTGATGAGACGGTGCCCACCCAGATGGAGGGTGGGTCTGCCTCTCCCAGTCCACTGACTGAGATGGCACTCTCCTGTGGCAGCGCCCTCACAGACACACCCAGGATCAGTGCTTTGCACCCTTCACTCCAGTCAAGTTTGGGTTGGATGACACTCCGTATTAACCATCACGCTCCCCGACTCAAAAAAGCAAAGAAAGAAACAAAATCCCCAAAACACAACTGTTTCTCAAGAGTGTTTGTGAGCTGTGCAGAACTTGCCTATGGCTGCAGGGGTACGGTGGTTTCTAGGCACACAGCACCTCCGGAGAAAATTTCCATCATCTTTTCTCCTGCCACGCCTCCCTCCCAGCCTCACGAAGGTGGGGCTCCCGCTCCCGACCGGACCCCACTGTTCAGTCTTCCAAGCACCTCCTTTCTGGACCTCCCTCAGGTTCCCCATAATCCAGGTGAACATAATCAGCTCTGTCCCCACGTAATCCAGGGCAGCTCAGCTCTGTCCCCCAGCTCCTGTCTTCAAGCTTGAGCAGCTCCTTCCAGCATCTCTAGGCCATCGGACACCACCTTAGAAACTTTTGTGGGTATTTTTAAAATGGATTTATCTTTTATGAGTTCAAGTTCAAACTAAGGGAGTCAATTTACTAGCTAATTTTTCTATTTCTGTGTAACAAATTTCACCATTTCGGTAACTTAAAACAACACATATGCATTCCCTCCCTCCCTCCCTCCCTCCCTCCCTCCCTCCCTTCCTTTTTCTTTTTTTCCTGACGGAGTTTCACTCTCGTTGCCCAGGCTGGAGTGTAATGGCACGATCTCAGCTCACCACAACCTCCGCCTCCCAGATTCAAGCGATTCTCCTGCCTCAGCCTGCCAAGTAGCTGGGATAACAGGCACCAGTCACCACACCTGGCTAATTTTGTATTTTTAGTAGAGACTGGGTTTCATCATGTTGGCCAGGCTGGTCTCAAACTCCTGACCTCAGGTGATCCACCCACCTCGGCCTCCCCAAGTGCTGGATTTCCAGGCATAAGCCACTGTGCCCGGCCCTCTCTCCACTTTCTGTGGGGTCAGCTGGGTCCTCTGCTTCTTGCTCCGCCAGGCTGAAATCAAGGCATCACCCACAGCTCTGATCTCATCTGAGGCATGAGGGTCTCTTCAGGGTTGTTCTGGTTTTTGATTTGTCAGCAATCAGTTGTAGGGCTGAGGCCCTCACCCCCACCCCCTCAGAAGTCACCACCCTTCCCCAGCGGCCCACCTGTGGCAGTGTGTGTCATTCCTGCTTCTGCTTCTGCTCTCCTTTCAGGACTCACCTGTTGAGGCCAGGCCCACCAGAAGAGCCCAGGAGCCGGTGTGTGCTGGAGCTGGCTGGCACTGGCTCCCGGAGTGGATTGCTGCACTGCCAGGACTCACCTGTTGAGGCCAGGCCCACCAGAGGAGCCCAGGAGCCGGTGTGTGCTGGAGTCGGCTGGCACTGGCTCCCGGAGTGGATTGCTGCACTGCCAGGACTCACCTGTTGAGGCCAGGCCCACCAGAGGAGCCCAGGAGCCGGTGTGTGCTGGAGTCGGCTGGCACTGGCTCCCGGAGTGGATTGCTGCACTGCCAGGAGCTTTGCAGGCCAGTTATTAGATGCAGACCTTGCTGAAAATTAAAGCTTACTTAAAACATGGGAAATAAATACTTGAAGCCGTCACTTTCTAAGTATTTTACTACATTTTGCATCACCTGCGCACTTGAGGTCACTGACGTCAGTTGTAGCCGTGGGGGTAAAAGCCGCAATGGGCTCCATGATCTCTTCCCAGGGCTGTGCTCAGTGACTTCATGTGTGGCTCAAAGTCGGCCATGATGGGGGCATTTACACCACGGAAATTGGCAAATGCTACAAATGCAGGTTTGATTGTTTTTATTGACTGTCTAGATTGAATAAAATTATGGGAAAATGTAAGTAATGTAGATTAAAGTTCAACATGTGTTGTGGCTGTAACCGTTACATTGTGAAGAATACTAAAAATTCAGGAAATGTTCTTCGAGTATTAGACAACTATCATCTGACTCAAAAGAGGCACTCATGTCACTTATGAGGTGACATTCCAATGTCGTTTTTATTTCAATTCTCTTTCACTCATTAACATAAATGAAAATATGAACCACGTCCAACTCGGCGCTGCACTGTTCATTAATAATGTGAGCAAGTTCTCTGCTGGGTCAGATGATAATCAGGCATTTGTTCAGAGGCTAATTTTGTGTCACGGTTGTCGGTGATAGAATTATAAAAACTGAGGGCGGGCCAGGCGCAGTGGCTCATGGCTGTAATCCTGGGACTTTGGGAGGCTGAGGTTGGCAGATCACTTGAGGTCAGGAGTTTGACACCAGCCTGGCCAATATGGCAAACCCCCGTCTCTACTAAAAATACAAAAATCAGCCAGGTGCAGTGGTGCACACCTGTAATCCAAGCTACTTGGGAGGCTAAGGCAGGAGAATCACTTGAATCCAGGTGCCAGAGGTTGCGGTGAGCTGAGATTGTGTCACTGCACTCCAGCCTTGGTGACAGAGTGAAACTTTAACTCAAAAAAAATGAAAAACTGAGAGTGGATTGTGTAAGAAATAGCAAGTCACACTGGGCGAGAGGTACAAAACAAAAATGACAAATGTTTTAGCTTAAAATATATGTTATTTCTAAAATTATATGAATAAATTAGTAACGGGAATTTCTATGTTAACTCTCAAGTAGTAGCATGAATTTTAATAGCATAAAATTATTTTTCAAATTTTTAATATAAATGAAAATATGAACCAGTTCAACTCGGAGCTGCACTGTTCATAAATGTGAGCAAGTTCTCTGCTGGATCAGATGATAATCAGGCATTTGTTCAGAGCCTAATTTTGTGACACGGTTGTTGGTGATAGAATTATAAAAACTGAGGGTGGGCCGAGCTCAGTGGCTCGTGGCCCTAAACTACCAAGAAAACAGATTAACTTACGTTTTTTAAGTGTGATTACATTAAAAAAAAAAAGACACAGAAAAGAATCCTGGTGCCCTTCACTCACACATTTGCTTATTGACTTGTTACTGTTGGGCAGCACTGAGACAAAGGATCTCTCAGTAATGCGATTTTTACTTCCTGGAAGGGCACCCTCACTAGCAGTCTTGCCATGAGAGTACAATGAACAAAGGAAAGCAGATATATTTATCCCTCATGCATTTGGGGTTGTCCTCACTGCTGTGTCTGATCTCCATTGGCTGGAGCCAGACCTCACAATCTAAACTAAAACCCAATTGGCTAATAACTTGAAACTTTTCCAAACAGGTAAAAGCAATGGAGAGCCACGGGGGTCCTCTTCACACAGGTGTCCCCAAGGCTTAGCCCTTGATTCTGTCCCTTCTGTGCTATACTCACTCCCTTGGTGACCTCATCTAGATTTTTTGTTGTTCTTTTCTTTTTTTTTTTTTACATTTGAAGGTTATTTTTTTTTTCAACTTTTATTTTAAGTTCAAGGGTACAGGCCGGGCGCAGTGGCTCACACCTGTAATCCCAGCACTTTGGGAGGCTGAGGCGAGTGGATCATGAGGTGAAGAGATCAAGACCATCCTGGTCAACATGGTGAAACCCCGTCTCTACTAAAAATACAAAATATGAGCTGGACATGGTGGCGCGTGCCTGTAATCCCAGCTACTCAGGAGGCTGAGGCAGAAGAATTGCCTGAACCCAGGAGGCGGAGGTTGCGGTGAGCCGAGATTGCGCCATTGCACTCCAGCCTGGGTAACAAGAGCGAAACTCTGTCTCAAAAAAAAAAAAAAAAAAGTTCAAGGGTACATGTGCAGGACGTGCAAGTGTGCGACACGGATAAATGTGTTCCCTGTTGGCCTGCTGCACGAATCATCCCATCACCTCGGTAGAAGCCCAGCCTCCATTAGCAATTCCTCCTGATGCTCTCCCTCCCCCTACCCACCACTCTCCACAGGCCCCAGTGTGTGTTGTTCCCCTCCTACCCTGTCCATCCTGTGTCCATGTGCTTTCATCATTCAGCTCCCACTTATAAGTGAGACTACATGGTATTTGGTTTTCTGTTCCTGCATTAGTTTTCTGAGGATAATGGCTTCCAACTCCATCCAGGTCCCTGCAAAGGACATGATTGCATTTCTTTTGATGGTTGCATAGTATTCCATGGTCTACATGTATCACATTTTCTTTATCTAGTCTATCATCAGTGGGCATTTAGGCTGATTCCATGTCAGCCTATTGTGAATAGTGCTGCAGTGAACCTATGTGTGTATGTATCTTTATCATAGAATGATATATATTCTTTTTTTTTTTTATCTGAGACAAAATCTCACTCTGTCACCAGGCTGGAGTGCAATGGTGTGATCTTGGCTCGCTGCAGCCTATGCCTCTGGAGTTCAAGAAATTCTCCTGCCTCAGCCTCCCAGGTAGCTGGGATTATAGGCATGTACCACCATGCCCAGATAAATTTTGTATTTTTGGTAGAGACAGGGTTTCACCACGTTGGCCAGGATGGTCTTGATCAACTTCACCTCATGATCCACACACCTCAGCCCCCCAAAGTGCTGGGATTACAGGCCTGAGCCACTGCTCCTGGCCAGAATGATTTGCATTCTTTTGAGTATACACCCATTAATGACGTATACTCAAATGGTATTTTGACCTCTAGGTCTTTAAGGAATCACCACACTGTCTTCCACAATGGTTAAACTAATTTGCACTCCCACCAAGAGTGCAAAGCGTTCCTTTTTCTCCACAACCTTGCCAGCATCTCTTGCTTTTTCACTTTTTAATGATAGCCAGTCTTGACCAGCATGAGATGGTATCTCATTGTGGTTTTGATTTGTGTTTCTCCAGTGATCAATCAGTAATGAGCTTTTTTTCCGTATGTTTGTTGGCTGCATGTATGTCTTCTTTTGAAGAGCATCTGTTCGTGTTCTTTGCCTACTTTTTAATGGAGTTGGTTTTTTTTCTCATAAATTTGTTTAAGTTTCTTTGTCAGATGAATAGATTGCATACATTTTCTCCCATTCTCTAGGTTGTCTGTTCACTCTGATGCTAGTTTCTTTTGCTGTGCAGAAGCTCTTTAGTTTAATTTGATCCCATTTGTCGATTTTTGCTTTTACCGTAATTGCTGTTGGCATTTTGGTCATAAAATCTTTGCCCATGACTATGTCCTGAATGGTATTGCCTGGATTTTCTTCTAGGGTTTTTATAGTTCGGGGTTTTATAATACATTTAAGTATTTAATCCAACTTGAGTTAATTTTTGTATAAGGTGTAAGGAAGGGATCCAGTTTCAATTTTCTGCATATGGCTAGCCAACTCTCCCAGCACCATATATTAAATAGGAAATCCTTTCTCTATTGCTTGTTTTTGTCAGGTTTGTCAAAGATCAGACGGTTGTAGATGAGTGATCTCATTCTGTTCCATTGGTCTGTGTGTCAAAGATCATATGGTTGTAGATGTGTGGTCTTACTTCTGAGTTTTCTATTCTGTTCCCTTGGCCTGTGTGTCTGTTCTTGTGCCAGTATCATGCTGTTTTGGTTACTGTGGCCTCGTAGTATAAAGTCAAGTAGCACAATACCTCCAGCTTTGCTCTTTTTGCTGAGGATTGTCTTGGCTATTTGGGTTCTTTTTTGGTTCCATGTGAATTTTTAAATGGTTTTTCTAATTTTGTGAAGAATGTCAATTGTAGTTAGATGGGACTAGCATTGAATCTATAATTACTTTGGACAGTATGGCCATTTTCATGATAATGATTCTTCCTATCCATGAGCATGGAACGTTTCTGTCATTCTCTGATTTGTGTCATCTCTGATTTCCTTGAGCAGTGGTTCGTAGTTCTCCTTGAAGTGGTCCCTCACTTCCCTTGTTAGCTGTATCCCCAGGTATTTTATTCTCTTCATAGCAATTGTGAATGGCAGTTCATTCATGATTTGGCTCTCTGCTTGCCTGTTGTTGGTAGGTAGGAATGCTAGACATTTTTGACATTGATTTTGTATCCTGAGACTTTGCTGAAGTTGCTTATCAGCTTAAGAAGCTTTTGGGCTCACACAATAGGTTTTTCTAGATATAGAATTATACCATCAGCAAACAAAGATAATTTGACTTTCTTTCTTCCTGTTTGATTATGCTTCATTTCTTTCTCTTGCCTGATTGCCCTGGCCGAAACTTCCAATACTATGTTGAATAGGAGGGATGGTGACAGAGGGCATCCTTGTCCTGTGCTGGTCTTCAAGGGGAATGCTTCCAGCTTTTGCCCATTCAGTACGATATTGGCTGCGAGTTTGTCATATGTGGCTTTTATTGTTCTGAGATACGTTCCTTCAACAACTAGTTTATTGAGAGTTTTTAACATAAAGGGATGTTGGATTTTATCAAAGGCCTTTTCTGCATCTATTGAGACAAATATGTGGTTTTTGCCTTTAGTTCTGTTTATGTGATGAATCACATTTACTGATCTGTGTATATGGTCCCAAGCTGCATCTCTGAGATGTAGCCTACTTAATTGTGGTGTATAAGCCTTTTGATGTGCTGCTGGATTTGACTTGACAGTATTTTATTGAGGATTTTCCACTGATGTTCGTCAAGGATATTGGCCTCAAGTTTTCTTGTGTCTCTGCCAGGTTTGGATATCAGGATGATGCTGGCCTCATAGAATGAGTTAGGACGGAGTCCCTCCTTTTCAA